CCCCCCCACCCCGGGGTTGACGTCAGCTTTATCTGTCTGCCCTCTTATTGATGATAAAAAATAACCAATTAGCGCGCGAGAAATTTGTAAGTTCAGGGGCGGCGCAGCGTTTTTTAAGTAGGGGGGGGGGCTGGCATTTGTACGTCTATTTAATAGTCCAGAAACAATTTTCTCATTAATACAACCTCCTAACTTTTTGCGCCGCCCCTGAAGTTATTGTAAAAATCATCTTTGTCTGATTTGAATCATGATGGGATTCCTGTGTCTTTTTGAACACACCCGCTTATCCACGTATCTCGGGCTCACCTAGAATCAGCCAATCAGAGGCGGACAAATATATGTCATGTATTGGTAATATACACGATTCAACCGGCGTTTATCATCAATTTCTGAAACTTTCTCCCCAGAGTTTGTACAAACTACCTTAGTACACCCGAGATCGGATCAAAAATAATATTTTTTTTATAATCATGAAGCTGTATATAGTATTGGTTATTCAAATTCTTGTTTGTGTTAATTTTTGGAGCATTGAAGCAGCTTTAAAACCGAGAGAATGCGAAGGTATGGAAGAAAACTCTCTTGCAATATTTCTTAATTTGTAATTCTAAATGTTAAGGTTTTAAGGTTATTTAATACGATGGGTTTTTGTAGGCAGTTATTATTGGATTACCTTGAATTTTATATCCTATTTGTGTCTTTCGTTCTCTATATTTGAAGAATTTAAAGAAAAATTTAAAGTGAATCCTCGTGTTGTGATTTGTAAACGATATACGTGGCCAAAAAGAATATTAACAGCTTCTTACTTTGAAAAAAAGCTATGATTAAATTACACTCAATTTAAATAAATACTTACTTGAGATTTAAATGGAGGCAACTTTATATAACGATATTGTGACCTTTTTCAGTCTTCATATACAGCTGTTTAACTATTTTAGCTATAGTTGTAGTGTATAAAAGTGATTTCCCAGTATTTTAAATCGACCTTCATTAATACATTACAAAAAAAAATTCATTCCATATTTTGCTACCACAGTTATTTGTAGGTAACATCGTGTATGAAGTTTAATAGTTTTATAGATAATTTGATGAGCAATAATTATTTATCAACATTTATGGCTGTTGTCCCAGCTCACCTCATTTGTCTATAATTGCATCTCCTTCCATTCACCTAGAAACATGTAATGAACCAGAAAAAAAACCCTTAGTCAAAGGAGAAATCTAACAAATTTTATGCTCTTGTACTCCGATGAAGGACTGTTGTCCGAAACATCAGTAAGTTTTTTCATCTTTTCACGGTGTATAATTTACCCTTTTATCATTACTGTTTCATTAGAAACACTGACGCAGCTCACACTAGTTTTTAGCTACAGGTGGTTATCTCTTCTTAACAAATTTTATAATCAAGTTCATGATTTAAATCTAAGACCTCAGAGGGTGAGATGTACATGATCTGTGTACAGTATCCTAGACTGAGAGCACCATTTAGTCTCTCCATTAATCTTCATTTGCACCTCAATGTGCTCAATTCAATTCAATTCAATTCAACTTCAGTTTATTTACACTGGATTTTTCAATTTTATATAATAGCATTACAAGGATATATATAGTTGCATAATATTTAGAATTTTTAACATAATTAACAATATAATAGGTGTAAGTGTACGACAGCCAAAGGAGCTAAGCTTTCTAGTTGGCTGTGGTAACTTTCATTTAGGKTCAAAAAAGAAAAAGAAAAAAACTACATGATAACACTATAATATTGCTGCAGTCCCTGTATTTTTTTATAATCTCTTACGCAGAGCCGAAATCCTCATGGTTAGCACAGAGAAACTATATGCTCTAGCTGGATTGATCCAATTTTGAGTAAGCTTATGAGCCAGAAGTAAATTCAACCGCACATGTCTAAATCACATGTCTAAATCACAATCGTTTAAGTTACCACCCTTGGTCTTTAGTGATTCAAATTCTTTGGAACCAAAGTCATCATTTTTTTACCTTTTTTAGCATTGAATATTCTAGTTAAAATATTTATTCTTTGTCTACTTAAATTTACAGTATGTATTCAATATATCCTCTTTTTAATTCATTGGCTTATTTTGTAAGTTCTTAACACATTTTATGAGTTTAAAAAACCCCACAAATGTAAGAGTGTTTCCTGTAAACTCACCTTGCCTCCCAATAATATTTCTCAGCAAAATTTGCTTAAATTCAAGTCTCATACTCCTACTTTAGGGGTACAAAAGATCTTTTATGGTAGCTTATTCTAGCAAATTCTGAGTTCTTTCCAAGCAAATTTAGTGCTTCGAAAACTCACTTATTTTCTAAAATTTTTGTGTCAGTAAGTTATTTCCAGAAAGAATCTTACTTTTGTTTTTTTCCTGGACCAATCACAATGCTTAAAAAAACAGGCGCTGCCAGAGCCTCTCATTTCTCAGTGCTGACCTAGAGAAACGTGGGCTCTCATGGGTACAAGATTGTTTCCTATGGCCCTTAAACCCCTACACCCCTCCCCTGGGGATATTATAGTAGTTACTAATCCTCACTCAGTCAAATAACCCAAGGAAAAACAAATTAAGTAGATCAGTGTAGTAGCAGCGATGAAATAATTAAGCTTGATAATCAAAACAACATAGTAAAGTTTTAACCGTACTGATTTAATATTTCTGGCAGACATGTTTTGGTGTCCTTACGCCACCATCAGTGTGACAAGATAGTCCTTACAAATGCTTAGATACAGTGAATAGCATGTGTGTATGCGTAGTGTAATAAATATCCAAGCTAATTACAAAGATAAAGAAAGTTTAGCATACGTGTTACTTGCTGATKCAAAATATTGATTAACGGCAACAATGATTGTCACAAGACCATAGAAATGCGGCTTATTCACCTATTGGGCACTCTTAGTCCCAACGGGATTAATGAACTCTTTATTTTCAACTATAACCTTTTCTTTTGTCTTTTGATTGTTTGTTTTTGTTTCCTTGCCTACCTTGTTCTCATTGGTTTCTTTTGTCTTATTCTATCATGTACACACTCCTTTCTACCACCTCTTTCTCTTTTACTCCAACGAAGGACTAGCGTCCAAAATGTCAGTAAGTCTTTTCATCTTTTCACGGTGCATAATTTACCTTTTCGTCATTACTGTTTCATTAGAAACACCGACGCAGCTCACACTAGTTTTTAGCTAGTTATATCTTCTGATTCAAAATAAGGTTTTGCCATTTGATATGCATGGCTTCTTTAAGCTTGATTTGGTATTCAGAACTAGCTGATCCAAGGATGGTGAAACAATCCAAAGAGTAGGGAAATATATGTACATGGACTGCTTCTAGTCTACTACCACTACTATGAAAATCAGTAAACCATGCTGTAGCACCAATGTAGTTGTTTAAAATAATATATATAATTAATAATCTTTGATAATGATATCTATAAAATTGAGCTGATCCTCGCAGTATATGAAGCAACTTATGCWGCTTCAAATTGAAAGAGTTTCTGAGTCTTGAACGGGATTTCAACCTGTGCAGTGGCGATCCTGGTGCCATGTTCTAACCACTGAGCTACCAAGTCTCATATGAGACTTCAAAGATCCTTGCAGGTTCAGAATTTTTTCCGACTCTTCCAATTTGCAGCTGCATAAGTTGCTTCATTTACTGCGAGGATCAGCTCAATTTGATACATTACATGTAAAACTGCAGTACAAATATATATCTCCTATATATCCTCTTACAATAATAATATCTCTTGGTACAACAAATGGTGAGAAAGCTTGCTTCTGATTGCCTGAATTTGTTTCACTATACTTGACAATGTTTCAGCCAAAATAAATTGAAGCCAATCAGGGTCTGTTGCAACAGTTACATGTATGTTTGAAAACATTAAAAGCTAGACAGAAGCTATCATGTAACAGATTTTGACAGCTGATGGAACAAGAGAAAAACAACTGGGTGCCACGGTCTACCAATTTTCATTGAACACCAGCCATAATTATTGATTTCTTTTAAATACAACTGTTCTAATAGGTTGTATGTATATGTTGCTAAGGCCAAACAAAAAAAAAWAAGCATGTTTCCTCTTGCATGAGAAAAATAATTGGGGTTGGTAGGTCAGATTTGTTTTACTGATACAACAGTGGAAATGAGCTTAGTGGCAATCCTGTATTTGGGAATGAAAAAAATATAAGGGTCCAAAATATCTGCAAGATAATTAGGGTTGGTGGTGCACCCTGGGGGGTACTCTTGCCCGTTTAGGGTAGGGATGTGCCGCTGAGCCCTCTGAACCCTGACCCTGTTCCAGAGAGGAGAGAGCGTGATTTCATATACCTTGTTTCAGAGCAAGCGCGATTTTATATACCCTGTTCCAGAGTAAAATTGCTGAAAACCATACCCTGTTTGGCGGCACATATCCGYATAGAGAATATAGGGGAGTACCCCCTGGGGTCACACAACAGGAAACATGCTAATTTTTTTGTTTGGCCTAATATGAAATCCTGTTCAATCATACATGTATCTTACTCAAATATATATGACAATATTTTCTTCTTTTTTTTTCAGTTTGTATAAAGTTTCTCACTAAAGTCCAAGGCTCACTTGAACCGAAAGAAGAAGGGAATCCAAAGGCAATAGAAAAGAAACTGAAAGCAGCCTGTAAGAAGGCTAAGACCAAGGACAAYAGATTTGTAAGTTGATGGTGCTCTAAATTAAATTTTGGTCATAGAGGTTTTTGCACCATCATGTGCAGGCACCCATAATACAGCTTGGGCTTCCTGTGAATAGATGGCAGAACCATAAAATCCCTTGGCCCTATTTCACTATGACGTCACATCAAAACAATCTTCAACAATCTATTGTTTAAACGCAAAGGATCATGGTCATCGGAGGGGGTCAAATCAATGCAAATTCACTGAAAATTGTTCTAAAACCTGTATCAACCCGTGCATGTATCTGAAAACCAGGCCATTTTAGATTAAACTGTTTCGCTAGGAGCAAATTTTGTTGAATTTTCTATTGGATTTGGCAATTCTATCCCCTGCATAAACAATCAGTGACGTCATAGTGAAATAGGGCAATTGAATTCTTTCTTATGTATATGTATAATGATTGTATTGTTCCTGCCATCTAACATGGCTGCCATTGACACCAGTGAAAAACGTCTGTGCATGCTCTGAATTTGTATGCAAATTAGTCAAAACATATGTAAATTTGACTTTCAAACATGCCTGATAAATTGGACTTCACAAAATGCCAAAACTTAGTGTBCATGCTTGAAACTTTAAGGCTAATCCTTTCATATTGTGTTTCTTAATACAGTATCTTGGCCTGACAAAAGTGTACTTTTGAACTTTTTAATATACTTGGAGAAAACAAACATTTATTTTCTCACTCATACTCTTCAAAATTCTTAGAAAACGTGCTAAAATGCATGCATGCGCAAACGTTTTTCTCTAGTGTCGCTGCTGTCACATGATAATGCAAAACCTCTATTCTTAGGGACCATTCATTTTTTACCAGGGACGTTAGAGGGGGGGATCATAAAAGAAAATCAGGGCCCAGTTGTATTAAGGTGAATAGTGCTATCGTACGGATAACTCCTTAAGGTTGTTCCACGGGATAGCGCTATCCAACCTTCGTAAAACCGGGTCCATGCTGAAGATAGAGAAACACAATGAATTCCAAGTCAAGAGAATGGATATTGAGGGAGGTCGATCGAGCCTGTAAGAATACTGTAGACATTCGCTTACAGTATAAAATTGATTTTTTTAAAAATTTGTACTTACTAAAAGAGGATATAAGGAGAGAGATAACTAGCTAAAAACTAGTGTGAGCTGTGTCGGTGTTTCTAATGAAACAGTAATGATAAAAGGGTAAATTATACACCGTGAAAAGATGAAAAAACTAATTAACTGACATTTCGGATGCTAGTTCTTTGCCGGAGTAAAAGACCAAAAAAGTAAAAGATGATATACTGATTTTTCATTTCATTTGAACAGAACATGCCCGATTTGTGTTTGAAGCTCCAGCATCGTTTCAGATTGTAAAGTAGCCTGCATAGCAGCCCAAAGGGAAGGGGATTGGGGACTGGGGAGAGGTAGGGGAGGGGGACTTGGGAGAGGAAGGAAGGAGAGGGAGGGCCAGCAATGATTCGATTCTTCCAATTTTGATTGGGTGACTCATAGAAATAGAAATAAACATGACTTTATTCTTTCATTTGATTGGTGGACATTTTGCATATTAATTAGGGGGCGGTAGGAAAAATCGAGGGGGTTCATTGCAGGCCCTCCCTCTCCTTCCTTCCTCTCCCCAGTCCCCCTCCCCTACCCAGTCCCTCTCAACTTCCTCTCCCCAGTCCCCAATCCCCTTCCCTTCCCATTTGGGCCGCTACACAGGCTAATTGTAAATTTGCTTTCATTTTTTTTTTCTTTTTTAATCTTTATTTTCTGACATTTAAAACGTTAGATACAGTGTACTGTAGTCTCATAGGGATTCGTTGAACGTGTTGGATAGAAAGAGTTTAAACAAAACATACTCCTAATGATCTACAGTCAAACCTTAAGTGCATCAACAAAGAGGGAGAGTAAAATTTTCTGTATGGGTATAACCAAGCAAATCATGCTTCCCCTTATTCCTTAAAAATGAATGGTCCCTTAGATTAGCACATAGCTGTTGGTACCTAAATAATCTTTGGGAGTTTTTCCATAAATTGTATTGGGATTTTATTTTTTGAAGGGGAGGAATTTTAAAATGAATTGATGGTTTTGATGGCCACCATGTTGGATGAATTTAACAAAAGATTCATCACTAGTGGTCTCTTTTGTTATCATCCAACATGGCTGTCGTGTCTTTTGTAATTACATTCTCTTAGGAATGATTCAAAACCAGCAATTGATTGTGGACAATATTATTGGCCAAGCCTAGAAATATGTAATTAAGACTGGTGATTTCATATTCAGTGCTCGAAATAGCAGCCTGCCAATGGTCAAATGACAGGCCAAATTTCAGGTTTGGCAGGCAAAAATAAGGATGCACTGCCAAATGAATGATAAAATGGCATTCAAAATATACTGGAATGACCTCCTTTTACCATGCTCCTTTACTATATGGCAGGCTGAAAAAATTTTCTATTTCAAGCCCTGATATTATTTACTGTATTATGTGTTTTTTTTACAATAAAAAAGCATAATCGTACAGTGAAACCACTTGCTGCTCCCAGGGTTCCACTGAAGAAATAGAAAACGCGTGCACGTGCTGTGTGCTGTCATAAAGCACACAGGGATTGGCAGAACACGAGAGAAGTGTTAGGAGAAGCACGACACGTAGCGGAGTTCTTCTGGACACTTCTCGAGTGTTTTGCCAATCCCCAAGTGCTTTATGACTGCACACAGCACAGCAAGCAAGTTTTTTATTTCTTTTATAAAATACAAATTACAATAATATATAGGAATGACGCAACGGAAAGTGTGCGAGCATGCAATGTGCTCTCATAAAGCACGCGCTCTAAACCAATCAGAACACTACATTCATAACAGTTATTTTATGATTGAGTTTTGAACAGTGTGAGACATTAGCTAAGATCAATAAGAGGACACTCAATGGAAATCTATGAAGGATTTGTTAAATTTACCAGTCAGGAGGTCTGGTTTGGGGAAAAAACATGAGTACCCGCGGTTTTGATTATACAGACCAAGGCCTTTAGGCTGAGGTCTATTTTTTTGTCTCAGACAGCACAGTTTTTTCCTAATATCGAGACCAACTTGAGGCCGGTAAAAAAATTTTTACATTGTTTTCCATTTACTTTTCCACTCGTTYTGCGGTTTGTTTTGTTGTTTTGTTGTTTTGTTTGATGACTCAAGTCTTACATATTGGGATAATGGACCATGGGCAGAGATAAAAAATACTGCCTGCCCATGCAGCCAATCAAAATGCATGATTTTTAGGATACCGGACTGTGCCTACTGTGTGTTGCCTCGGAGCAGCATTTTTGCATTACTGTAACATAATTCCTTTCAATTTCAATAGATCCCTTCACAGTTCCCTGCGCCATCTTGAAAGGTAGCCGTGCCTTTGCATTGAAGCAAGATGAACAGTGAGCTTGCAATGATAGAGACCTTTCTTTAACACCTTGGACAATTATTCACAAGTCTCTATCATTGCAAGCTCACCGTTTGTCTTGCTTCAATGCAAAGGCAAGGCTACCTTTCAAGATGGTGCAGGGGACTGTGAAGGGAACTATTGGTTTTCTTTAACCTTATACCTGTACAGTTGTATAGTATAGTTGTCTTACTTAACCTGGTTGGTTTATTTATTCTAGTGTTATTACATTGGTGGTACTGCYGATGCTGCAACAGGAATGTTAGGTGAAATTACTAAGCCTATGAGCTACTCTAAACCTGTTGAGAAAATCTGTGAAAACCTGAAGAAGAAGGATGGCCAGATCTGTGAATTACAATATGGTTAGTGTTAAAAAAATATCCATGTAACAATTACTAACCACATACATGTACATGTTGTGCTTTCACAACTCAGTCATACATGAACCAAACAAAGAGGCGTAGAGGTACTTGCTTTTGTTACTGCATGAATGTTTACAATTTTGTCTTGCTTCAGTAGAGTGCAAACAATATAACCGTGAAACTTTAGTAATACTAAATAGCACAATTTCATGCAAATTCCATTGTTTTCTATTGTTTAATTAGCACTATTTTGTACTATTTAGTAATTAGTGTTTCACGGATTAATTGTTTGCACTCTAGTTTCACAAGTTACTGTTTAGTTGTAAAATAGCTATGAATTCACTCAGACATGAACTAAACAAAGAGGCGTAGAGGTACTTGCTTTTTTTAACCAATGTTTACAATTTTGTTCTGCTTTAGTAATATTCACTATTTTGCACAAAATARTAGCAAAATACCTGCAATAGGCCTTTTGCAACAACAGGTCACATGACCCTATCCCCCGTAAAAAGAGACGTTATGTCAAAATGAACACCAGAAATCGAAAGAGCACCTCAATATTAGTAAGAAGGCAAAGTTTTAGCTTATGATGTTGACTATAGTAGAAATGGCATTAAATACAAATTGAATATTTGATAAGGATTTGAATGGGGAAATGTGTTGGATGGCATAGCTTGTTAGCTCCTTATAAAATATTCGATTTTGTATTTAATGCCATTTCTCCTGTGTTACATGTCATAGGCTGATAAGCTCATAAGCTGATTTAGCCCTCCTATACTAATCTTATACATTTTCAAGCCCCCCCCCCCCACTTTTAAGGGTGTGCTCCGCTGCCCCTGTAATGAACCTGTGCAAACCTGTGATGGCCTTGTTCCATGATCAGAATCGATTAGAATTTATAAGTTGTAGTCTATTGAAGGAAGGAAGATTTGGAAATGGCTGCTCTAACCCCGCCCCCCCTCCCCTACCCCCAATGCAAGCAGGCACCCTTAGTAGCATGCTGCTCTATTGAAGAAAAAAAACCATCCTAAAATTTTGTGTGGCTGCATTGAATACAACAACTAATAAATAAGAGGGAAACTTAAATACAATAAATTCTATAGAATATGTGTTTTGCAATTATTTTTTTTACTTTCAGTCCCCCTAATTACTTTAGATTTCATATCACCACCACTATAACCCTATGATGCCTCCTACATATTATAAAGTTAAACAACTTCTTGTTTTCTAATAGTTTTTTCCAGTTATTTAAAAAAATTATTTTTCTCTTTAGAACAAAAGATTGACCTTAAGAATACAGATCTAAAGAAACTGCGAGTAAAACAACTGAAGAAGATTTTAAATGACTTTGATGAACACTGCCATRGCTGTGTAGAAAAGTCAGACTTCATCAAGAAAATACAAGAAGTGATGGCTCAACACTCAGAACTATAGATTATTTCTTTTCCATTCTTATATACCAAACTATTGTAATTAGTACATATTGCAAAATCATTGTTTGGGTTCAAACATAGAACATAGAAGGTAAGACCGGAATGGTACATGTTGTAAAGTACATTGTTGTTTTGACAGAAAAGACAGAGGCTTGTAACTCATTTTTCATATCGACATTTTATCTCYAATTGAATACACCTACTTGCAAGAAAGTTGTCATACAATATTAAGACATTAGTAATTTAGTGAGAAAGGAATACATTAAAAGACAAAAGAAAAAGTTCAGCTTCAGTGATCTTCTTTTGTTTTTTAATATAATTCCTATCCCACTAATTCACTAATGTTCTATTTTCGTATGACAACGTTCTTRCAAGTAGGTGTATATCAGAGAAAAATCATGTCATTTATCAGCAAACCTTTGTGTCACATCTTCTATGTTCTATGTTTTTAAACCTGACAATAATCTTACAATTGCGTGTATGGAAGAACAGATTAAATGACTGCAGTTTTTTTCTTTATTCTTGTTATACTATCACAGTTTTTCCATACTAATCTAGAGCTCTTATCATCAGAACGCTATTCTATTTAGAAAAGATAATGAATAAAGACTAAATTTTACACCGTGAAAAGTTGAAAAAACTTACTGACGTTTCGGACGCTAGTCCTTCGTCCTCTTTTACACCGACGAAGGACGAAGGATCTTTTC